CTATCACAGTAGGAGGTGGTAAAGAGAAAAAACCAAACCCTTAATTCAGGGATCAGTGTTAAACTTAAAACCAACTCCTTTCATCTGTTGTGTGCTTGCAGATCAGCCAATGCTTTAATGCCTATTTGGAGTCTCTTCTGCCTTGTGGGGTGGGAGTGTGTCTGTAGGTGTGTCAGGGGAAAAAGAAGGGTTTTGCTGGCTTACCTAATGGTGTTTGGGAAGAGGACATGGAAAGCTTTTGCCTGTGTTACTCTACCAACATGGCTTAAACATGCACACAGCTGAACACACAAGCTCTGTGTGGAGACTACATCCCTACTGATGGTGCAAAGTACTACCTCCTCCATGCTGCCGTCTGCCAGAGGTGGGTACGGGAAGGTAGAAACAGCAACCGGGGGCTCACTTCTTCAGGCTTGTAACAGCCACTCCTGTCTTATCTCCCCTGGGTCAGTGTTAACTTACTGCAAACTGTCCTGTAGAAAGCCATGTGATCCTGAAAAGAATTATGCCAGAACCCAAGTTAATTTGTCTTGGGGGTGCGGAGGTGTGTGTTTGTTTTTTCCTCCAGAAAACAACCCCAGCCTTTTCTGTTCTAGTTCCTGACCTGGGAGCAAGCTCCTTCCTGAATGGAGATAATTTTGCCCAGAGCAATGATGAGTGAAGTATACTCTGAACTGGTATTGCTGAGACTTCGTGTCTTTGCTCTGACCAGGGCATGATCACGTAATCTTCTCTCTGAGCTTATTTAGGCTAAGCTCATCTGGAGTAAACAGCTTGGTTTCTTTTTGATGTGCCCTAAAAAATATTGAAAAAGTGTTAAGAATTTTTAGCATTTTTTTTAGCAGCGGAAAAACTAACCTTGATTTGAAAAGGGAGTAGTGCAAATACTTGTTTGGATTTGTGTACCTTGCTGCAATGCTGGGTTTAGTACTGAGCTTGCAGCAAGCGGGGTTTCTTGTTTTTTCTCCTACGTGCGACATGGCGTACGAAACTCCAGGTACTTTGCCAATGTATCTTTGTTTGTAAATGCAATGCAGGCTCCGTAAAATGGAGCCTGAGCTGTCTGCCCTGTAGACACCTCATCAGCAGTTGGTTCAGCTGTATTCTCATCTAGTTATTGCCAGCACGGAGGCAGGAGTATTTTTGGAAGGAAGTTGTGGTGTTGGGCCTGGCTCTGATGCTCTGCTCTGGATGAAGTGCAGCCCTTTTGCGTGGAGCGGGGGAAAGGGTGGGCTAATCAAGCACGTACAGGAAAAGATACAGAGCTGTTCTCTAATCTAGTTTTTATTCTCTTCCAGGTCTTGGTGACACCTTTACATTCGTTTCTCTCTTTCTGTGGAGAAGGAAGCTCCTGTGGGGAATATGTACCTAGGAATATAGTCATGGTGGTTTTCTCTTAACAGGAGAAGCCACGTGGTTTCTGTTAAAGAAGTAGGGAAAGCAATTTGGTTGCTAATGCACTATTTTTTTTAAGAGTGTCTAGATGAGTTGTGAATGTGGCTTAGGTTCACTAAATATTTTTTAAAAGACTTGCAAAGTCAAGTTCTGACGGTAATGTATTGGGCAATTCCAGTGCTGCTGTTAATGTTGATGTAATTGTTTTAAGTAACAGAACAAAGCATCCTGAATTTATATATGATACATACTAATTTGTGACTCCCCTACAGTCATGTAAGTCCAAAGGTCGACTTAATAAAGTTGGTATTCCTTGAAAAATCTTTTCTTGTCTATCTTTAGACCATCATGGCTTTAATAACACTATTACAGGCAAAAAGCAGATAAACGGGAATATTTGTATAATGCGAATTGGTTTTAGAGCAACAAACCTGATAAATGGGTATTTATGTGGCTACTAAGGACAGGAGGGTTAGAAGAAGCAGACAAATCCAAGTTGGTATCCTGCAGCCATCTGCAGAACACTAACAAAATCTGCCAGGTAAGCTGCTGAGCCTGTCACCATCGTGGGCTTAGTGCCCGTTAGCCAGCTAGGCATTAAAGAGCAATGTAACATTCAAGAGTAATTACAGCTGTTCGGAACGGTGGGGCTTAGATGTGGGAGGTTAAATGCAGGTCTCAGAGCTGCCGTGGAGTTGGCCAAATCTGAGTTTGGCAGGGACAGGGTGGTGTGGGGAGAGATGGAGTGGAAGGCAGCCAGGCCCTGACAGTCAGGCATCTGGTGGCTGTTCTGGAGAGAAGAAGAGATTAACCCTGGGAGAAGGAGGCAGAGAGGCTCCGGAGCAGCCTGCGTACAGGCAACTTCGTTGTGCTGTTCAACAGTTAGTGAATCCTTCTGTGTCAGAAGGGAGGAAGGTGTGGAACTTGTCCAAGAGCTCTGCAGTGCTGGTGGGTGAGTCGGCATCGGTCAGTCTTCTGTCCCAGGTCCGCCCAGCTTCTCACTGAGCAGCAGACAGGTCACTTGGAAAGCACAGGAGGGATCAAAGGAAAACAAACCTATCCTGAAATAATTGTCAGTCAAATCCTTCAGCCTTTACTTAAACGAGTAGTTGCATGGAGTCAACAGGACGATCAGGCCCACGTCTGTCTAATCAGACGGGTTATTGTAAGACGGTGCAGCAGCAGTGACGCGTCTGGGATACTGTTTTTTCACAGAGATGATGATCTCTGTGTATGAAGCAAAACTGATGTAGCAAGTGATGTGAATTAATATCCAGTCCAAAGCCAGCTATGTTAAAAGTGATTTGAAATCTCAGAAAATCTCACAGCTTGATGTGATTTCTTTTCCAGTAAGATGTGTGGGCTCTTACTGGCTTTCTAAAGGAAGAGAGGTGTCTTTATGGATCCCATAACTACTGGAAAAAAGAGAAATGAGACAGTTTTTATTATTGTTCCATAGTGGCACAGGTAGGAGGGTCTGGAAGTTGTATGGAGATAATAAGACAAGCACTGGGGACAAAGCTCATTTGTTACAGTAGGTGTTTCTCCAGAGCATCTTTGGGAGGATGCAAATTACTGTATTTTTCCACACTATTCAATAACCTTGCTGTCTCGCTTACAGGTGAGGGAGGATATTGGAGATTTTTATCTTCTGAAGCAGAGCTAAAGCGGGGGGGGAAATGAGATGATCGCTTCAGTGGATTAAATGTTAAACATATCTCTTAATCTGGAAAGACCTTGTACTTTGTGCGGCAAACTTTGCTTTTGGATTCTATAAGCAAAGTCGCCATGATGTGTGGAGTAGCTAACTGCTGCTCCCTAGAGCCAAGTCAGGAAAAAACCTTCCACCCTGAAAAATCAGGTGCCAAGGAAGGGCCAGCACAAACATCACACATGTTTTCGTTTCTCCTCTGTTCAAGGAAAGGATGATTTGTTACGATATGAATGCGCTACACGTTCGGGACTGGAATAACTGTAATGTAATACTTAAATCAAACAGACATTAAAGATTCCCCATCTACAAAATACTAATCTTAGCCATTTTCATCGTCTGCAAAGATGAAAGCAACTTTAGTCCAGTCTCCTTTCTGTAAACAGAGCCCCTAGAGGAGCAAACTTTGTTTTTTCCAATCCTCAGAGAAGAAGTAAGTTAGGTTCTCAATCAAGAAAATTTTGCTTTATAAAAGCAGATAATAACAGATTCAAAGACTTATTTAACAAAAACCAACTCTCATCATTTGGCACAGTTGCTGCTTTAATCTGGTTTGTCGTTTTTCTCCCTCGTGCAGAAAATGTAATCTGCCTCTTGTATCCTTGCTGGTACACATCACCTCTTGTTACTTTAAAGAGTCAAAAGTCTCAATTTAGAACTGTTGATGGAAATTAGGGTTGTGTTGTTCTCAATTCAAAGGTGAGTAGCCTGAAAACGCAGGGAGACTCGTAAGAATAGCATGATCAGAGAGAGAGGTCTAAGCCTGCTTGTACCTCTTGGACAAGCACTAGTGCCAGAGGTTGCCCCGGGCAGCACAAGCGCCTGGGAAGCTGCTAGGGGAGGAATAACTCGCCTAGAGAATTTTCCCTACCTCTTTAATTTGCTAGCTTATACCCTCGAGCAGGACTTTTACCAGTTATGCTCTTTGATCCTCACATTTGCATTCTTCCTCTCCAAATCAATGTTTCTTCCCTTTTGGTTGGTCTTTGAAGGCATTTCTGTGCCAGCTGAGAGATTGTGGCTGTCCGATCCCTCTGAAACTGTCACAGGATGTTTGAACAGCTAATAAACAAAGGGGAGAGCCTTACCAGAATTCACAAAGGCAGCAAAACTCTCATGTACCACCAAGTTCAAAGGAACTTTAGAGCTCACTGATGAGTTGCAGTGGTAAAAAGTCTTCTATGGAACATAAGGGGTGAATTTCGGCTCACTGCTACGCAGCCACCAGCCTCAAAGAGGTATCTCTCCGAAAGCACGGGGCAGGCCTTTCAGCTCTCAGGAGAATACAGTTTGACAAGGTGCTGCAGCTCTGTGGCATAGCCTGTGATCGGGCAGCGCTGGTGAGTCTTCACATAATTGTACACACAGCGGTAGCAAAACACAAAGCCAGAGGTGGACAGGGCTGTGGCATTGACGCGAATTTTGCGGCACAGAGGGCACACGGTCTTCAGTTTGGGTAAGAGAGCTGTGCCGGCCCCGTGGTCGAGGTGCACAGGGGGTGGAGGAGTTGGGAGCGCTGTCAGAGATTTGATCGTCTCTTGGTTTTCTGAGGAGTACCACCAGTCCAGGAACTGGAGGAAGAACACACTGATGGACAGCCCGGTGGACAGGGAGAAGGCAATGCCACCCAATGCTTTCCTCACTGCTGACTGCACTTTTGTTTTAATGCTGTGAAAGAGAGAAGATATGGAGAAATCGTTACCACTGCACATTTGTCCATCTGCAAACCAAGGTAAAAAGGACTTGGGGATTAAGTCACTGCTTTATACAGCTTCTTAATGCTAAGGAAGTTGGTTGATGTATCCCATGTTTGTAATGAGGCATCTGCTAGGATGTTTCTTGCAGATTCTGTCTATTTTATGAAAGCTTCAAGTTCTGTTTTGTTCAGAACTCTAAATTGGAAGAGGTTTGAATTGAGGGGACCTGGACCACAGAGCGTTTCACTCATGGATCATAATTTTACAGGACATTAAGCATGGTCATGACTAGCTGCTGCTCAGAAAAATCAAAGAGCTAAGTTCCAGTCCTTTTAGCAATATTGTTGCAGTCTACTTCCCTTGTTAGAAAAGTGCAAGTGAAGACTGAACAGCATAAAGGCTGGAGTGCCAACCCCTCTTCCCAGCGTTGCAATTTTATTACCACAAAATCTTGTGAAGCTAATCCCTGCTACTTGTTTCCTTATTTGCACTAACTATATACCCTTTTGGAGTACATTTTGCCAGGGGTAAACTTCATCTTGAAGCACCTCTGGAGAACAAGCCAGTTTTACTTGCAGCATCACCTCCAAATTAACACAGCCACAGAACTCTCTAGAAAGCAGCTGTTAAGCCATGTTCTGACATACCTGTGTGTTTGACTTGAGGTGGCTCCAGCCAATTTCTTCTCCAGGGCCTGGATATCCTCTGCAGTCAGTCTGACCAGGCGAACACCAGCCAACCGCAGCATGGGTGAATGATGCTGAGCTTTACCGAGGATATAGCACAGTTGCTGGATAAGAAACCAGCCCTCCCAGGTCATGTTTACAAAGGGGTAGGCAGCTAGAAAGGCTCTGTAAAAGCGCTTCCAGGATGATGATGGAGGGTGGATGGAGTACTCGTCCTCTTCCCTCAGGCTGGACACCAGTTTCTCTAGCTTTCCTTTCAGGTAAGGAACAAGAACCAGCAAGAGGAGAGACTTCCAGTGCTGCCTCTTTGGCAGGCCAGCAGTGGCCAGAGGTTGCTGTCTGCGCTCTCCTGTCGGTATCCTCTTTAAGCTATAGAAGTTTTCAGAAAAGGAGGCGCTGCACCTGGACAGATAGTGCTGCTGGAGCAGCAAATCCAGAAGGACGTAGATCTCATCGAACCAGTGCCAGAGGAAGCCGTACCGGCCTGGATTAGACTCAGCAAGCACCTATTGAGAGGGACACAAAATGGAAGGAACTGAAAGCGGAGTAATGTGCTAAATTACAGTAGCTATAAATTATGCCCCCAGTTCATGAAGCGAGCTGGGTGGGTCAAAACTGTTAGACTAGTCAGTGAGCGTGGCCAGAGGTAAACCCTGGCGATGAACGGCTCAGCACAGAGCTGTGCAGACCCTCCAGGGTCCCTCTCTGCAGCAGTTTCTCCACAGAATATTCACCTTCAAGACACTGTTCACCTCAGCGTCCCGCTCCCCACAGCGCGGTGCCCTGCAGGGAGAAGGCCACGGCCGCCCCCTCCTCTCCTCCCCTCGCCCCAGGCCCGCCTCCCCCTTACCTTGACCAGGTGCTGCAGGGCGGGCTTCAGGGCGGCCATCAGGCTGTCCTGGGCCACCGCCTCGAAGAT